CTAAGTGCTTGCATCCATTTATTAGGAAGTTGGAGATCTAACTACAACAAAATGTGTGCAAACTTGCAAAACTGGAAGGAAGTTTGAGATGCTTCTAAAATTGATCAATCAATCAACAGCTGGACTGCTTTCCGAAAGTTTATGGGAACAAAATGTCTTTTTTTGTATGAGGTCAGCATTGCCCCAAGAAAGCGTCCTGGAGTAGCCCCCAAGATGAGGTGCTTCAGAACTTCCTGGGTTAATGTGAAAGAAACAATCTACTCCTGCTGGGGTTTCATATCTCTACCAGGAATGCACAAGGGGGGCTGGACTGTAGGCATACTGCTCGCTGTCGCTGCCTTACTCAGGCATTACAACTACTTTGGCATCTCATTTTAAGAAGGAGACAAACCGTTCAGTTTGTCAGCTGTCTGGGACTGCTGTGTGCTGGCTGCCTGTGTTGTCGTGATACCCACCTTGTGCCAGCTGCCTGTATAGGTGCCCACCTTAGGCAGCTTGTTAGTAACACGGACTCAATGAGGTACCTAGAATAGGAGGTCTGAAAGTGAGAAAGAAGATGCCTCTTTTGAATGATTTGAAACCCTATGCCCAGGGCTGCAAAAGCAGCATCCAGCATAGGTTACCAGAACCAACATTTCTCTTCCTCCCTGTTCTTCACTGTTGCTGTCAAGGGCAGTGCCAGGCCATCTCTGCTCTGAAGAAAGCATTCTTTGACAAAGAGGCATGAACCGCTGTCTCCTCTTTGCCAGAATAGGGGCCATTATGAAAAACAAAAGATTCGGTTTTGGTGAGGGGGTGTGGGGTGAATTTTAGAAATGCTGTGCAGCTTTTACAAAGTATTTGGGGGATGTCCCAGAATGAGGAAGAATGGGACATGACTCAGTATGTGTGACACCCAGCAGCATAAGATCCTTTCTATTACTCATGCAGGATGGAGCGGAAAAGATCTGTCAGTAATGTTCAGTTTACACATGGTTTTCACTTAAGCACTTGACAGAAGAAAGTTTCATTGCTTTATTTAGTGTATTTTAGATCCAAGAAAGGATACTTGCTATATATCTGACAAACTATTCATCTCTGTGGCTGGCTTATTAACGTACCAGAAACTGGCCCTTAGGACATAGCAGCCTGACTCCCATGTAAAGGGTCATCAGAGTGAACACAAACACAACAGACTCTTATTTTAAAGCCCTTTTATATTGCCAGTGTGATGCAAAGTGATTGTGAAAATAAGAATGAGCCCATTTTAGATGTCTATAATGTGATAAAAATTGCTGACCATTACTGTGTCATACTCTCCCTCAAACTAAACTTTACAGTCAAGGATAAATGTATTCGCAAATCTTAGCTGCTGTTCACACACACAGAAAAATGTGCAAATGTCATTTGAAGTTGTTCACTCTGCTGGGAGACTCCCCCCACCCCCATCTTGTCTCCTGCAATTACCCTTTGCCCCTTTCCTCCAGCAGCTATTTCTTCCTAGCCGTTCGTTTTACCATCCTTCAAAAGACGGTGGCCCCGCTCCTGCTGCCCATCAGATGTGGTGAGCTAGACCTGCCAGAAAGCCATCATCCGGGGAGGGTTGAGTCTCTGCACCAGTGTTTGCAAAGGGTGTCCTCCAGTGCTCAGTCTCTGCAGTGCTAAGGGTTACCGTTTCTCTCTCTCAGCTCAGCAGAAGCAGAAGAGATCCAAAATGGGCTTCTTCCCCCCCCATTCCTGCAGAAGCATGCCCTTTCCAAGTAGCCAGAGATCCTTCAAAGGCAGGCTGAAGCTTTAATGCACAGCTAACAGCAGTCTAAAATGTAGAGCGAGTCAGCCATTTTGCAGCCTTACAGCAGGAAGGAGGCAGGCGCTCAGGAGGACAGGAGTGGAGAAGCAGCAGCCAGTGAGACAGCAGGAGAAGTAGCCTGGGCCTTGCAAAGTGGAGGCCACTGCTGGGGCATTCACCACTTACAAAGACAGGAGGATCATATGAAGAGTCCACAGGGGTCTGGGTGGCTTTCTACGTCACCGGGAGTTGCCTGATGTGCAGGGAAGCAGACTGCTTCTACAGCTTGTTCCTGGCAGATTTTGAAGTAGAGAAAATGGCCAGAGAAGGCTTAGCAAACTATCAAATGGGTTTTCCACTTTAGCTCAGGAGACAGGAAATGAAACAGCAGAGGGGGATTGATTTTTCTGGTGAGTTTGGCTCATCAACTCAATGAGCAGTTCACTTGTCTTCCTCTCAAGGTCAGCAGAGTGACAGAGTGTCTCACCGTGCCCTTCAGGACCTTTTCTGCTGCAGAGTTTGCTCAGTTTTCAGTCAACCCTCATGGAGTTACTAGTTCGTCACAGCAATGCTGGTGTCTGGCCTGCCATGTCACTCAAGAAGAGATGGGATGACTGAGAGTTAAAAGTCCATACTGTGGAGGCACAGGCTGTTTCCTACTCCCTGTCTTGGGAACCATATGTGGCAGCAGTGGAGCCTTTGGAACATGTGTCACGTGTAGCATGAACTGACAGCCTAAACTGAAGTCACTCTAGTTGGGTACAAAGGCTACTTTAGGAGGAGCTTGCCTGTTTATATAGGTTTCAGATGACTTCATTTTTCAAAAGTGCATGGAGTGCATCCAAAGCAAATAATTTTTCTGTGGTGAATGGGAAGACCAAAAGGAAAAGTCTGGAGAAAGGAGGATGGATGGTCTTCCTTTAATGTCAAAGCTGACATAAACATGTCTCCTCCAAACCCTTCTCACAAGATAATTTTCTCAGCAAGACACAGATTGCTTCAATCTCTGCGTAGCAGCCTTTGAAGCTTCCCCCTTATTGCTGTTATGGAGGAGGCAGGGTTGTCTTTGAGAATTTCTGCAGCACTGAAGTGTTCCTCCTCCAGAGGCTTTCACACGATCATATAGTTGGTTGCTCCAAACAGCTCCCTCTTTGGAACTTCTCTGCCAACACACAAGGGCAAACTGATATGTCTGTTTTGCAAAATTATTAAACTAAAAAAACTAAAAAGGCTTCATTAAAAATATTCTGACCAGCTCTATGTAATGCCTCAATTTTCATTAGACAGGGGCCCGCTAAGATGACGACGAATGGTGTTGGAAAGGAGCCACCAATTAGGAAACATCAATTTTTCTGTCAACAGGATAACCCCTTTTGCAAAACTTGTCATATGTTTATTCCTTTTCTGTTTGTGAAGGTATTTGTTTGGCAGGGATATTTTGCACGAGGGGAAGAATTTATAATATTTTTTTTTTATGGTTGTCATTGCTGCACTATTTTGAGTTCCTGTCTTGTGGGATGTTTTCCCAGTTCAGAGTTCTTTCTCCTCAATCTGTCTGCTGTCTGTAACTCTTCCATTTGCAATAATTCTGGGGAAAAAAATGACTCTACTTACTTCTGCAGTGAGTTCTGGGGTGGAAACACTTGTGATGGTAGTAGACACCTTGGGAGCATAGGACTTGGGGCTTGCAATGCCTTCAGGTTGCAGGCTTAGGAATGCTACTATATGGATGTTCCCAAAAGGAAGAGAAATGCATTTCTGAGCATTTCTTTCTTAAAAAATTATGCCTGTTATGCTTGCATCCTAATAAGTGTTCTTCCATATTTAATGGTTTAAGATACAACTGAAGACATACGGATTTTTTTCCAGTTTACACACTTTCTTTACCCACATTCAGAAAACTTGATAGCTTCCACGCTTGCTTTTACTGTGCAGGAAATTTTACTCACTTTACTTATAGGAAGCTGTATACATCCTTTATTCATCTGCATGCAGTGATTCACAGCTGCTGCTGTGTTTCTTAATAGCTTATTGCAAGTCATTTTATGAAATCATCAGTAGCAAATGCTTGACAGATACTCGAAGACAAAACAAGGAACTTCTGTATACGTGGGCATATGTGTAATACACAGAGAGCAAGAGTTGCCTGTGCATGTTATGATATTTGACAAGAGACTGAATGAGAAGGACAGATAGCCAGTGGGATTTCAGATGGGCACTGGAAGATGTTGACATGACCTTAAAGCCTATCAGATTCTTATGTGGGAACCCAGCTTCAGGAAATGGAGCATATGATGACAGGTTTTTGAGGGATGGCTGAAAAGTTACAACTGTGTAATGGGTATCTACTGGGACACTGAACAGACCTGTGTTGTTTTTCACCTGTATTGTGGAGAGGGGGAGGCTTGGCATGGAATAGTTAAAGAGTGGAAGGTCATGATTTAGATGATAAGTGCCCAGTATTTGTAGATCAGGTATACACCTCATCATCATCATCTGGTGTCACGTCATGCTGCTCAGTGCTCAGCTAGCAGCTGTGTTGAACGTATGTGTTAATGACTGCAATTGTTTTGTCCTGGAAGCAGACCACATGCAGACCATCTACTAGTGTCTAATATAGGCATAGTTATGACTCCACCTGTCCATGGCTGATCTGAAGCACTCATTACTGTTTTGAAATCAGACACAATAGTAGTCATCTCGCTGCCTCTAATGTGTGATGGGTCAGGGTCCGAGCACATCCTTCTGAGTGAAGGCAAAGGTTAAGGCAGGTTTTGGGGCTCTAAATTGCAACTTACCAATTCTTTTTTAAAGTACCTTTACACTGCAAAAGCAAAACCACTTGCGTTCCATAAAGTCTCGCTGTTTGTCTTCAGAGTGGAATTTGTGTTCTTTTAAGCTAATGGTGAGGCTGCATCTGGCTTACCTGAGCAGCCACCTTTGTGCCTGAGCTAAACTGCTACTGCTGCTTGTGGTGGAGTGCAGGAATCTCTGTTGAGATGGAAGATGGGCAGCTAGTGACAGCTTAGTCCTCGCCTGTAAACAACTTTGTATTTAGAGGGGAAATTTTCCAAAGTACCTAAGTGATTTAGGATCCAAAATCTCCATTTCAGTTATTTCCAGGCTCTGGAGTGAGATAAACATTTTTCAAAGTGTGATTGTGTCTTTCTTGTTACAATGCCATCTGCCATCAGGATGCCCTCTTCTTAATTATCTTGTTCCTCTTTTCCAGGTTGGCCTGCCTTCTATGATGTGATCAGTCCTGATGCAATTACTTTCAATGATGATTTCTCCTATGGGATGCACCGGATTGAAATATCCTGCAGTCAGGTTAGTTTATAGCACACACAGACCATTCTGATAGCAAAGGCTGCAAAAATCATTACAGCATGCTGTACTTACCCTAAGATTTGCAAACCTTTCAGTTCCATTAAATAGTAATCATTGTGAGAGAGCACAATGGGTCGTAGGTATAACAGCTGGGTGGAACGAGCTGAAGGCACAAAGGACTCGTTGGAATGCACGTTGTTGTTTTGTGTGATATTTAACAGAGCAGATGTAAATGGTTGGACTTGGTGCTGAGTCTACAGAAATTGTCTTCCTGAAGAGGGTCCCTTCAAAGGAGCTCCTGAGCCTGAGCCTGGCCCACTGACTCCACACACGAGCAGTTGAGAGGGAAGTCAAAAGCGGTGGAGTGACTGTCTGTGTGCTGATTCCATCACTGTGCATTACTGTGCAACCGTGCTAACTCATTCCCAACCCTCATTCCCAGCGCAGTCCTAATGGCTGCCTCAAACAATCCCATCTGCCGTAATAATGAACTCAGTAGTCATTCAAAACATACCCAAATTTTCCATTATCTGTCTTGTTCTACTTTCTCTCATCCTTTGTGCAGCCTTCCTCTCTGTGAAAAGAATGGCATAATCATTACCTAGCAAAGGGAGAACCTGCTGCATTGGTGTTTGGCAGACGTACCCGGCAGCTTGCGGTCCTCTAGCTCCACATGCTCAAACGCCTCCTGAGAGAAGCAGCAGCTTCATTTGGGCCGTGAGAATTTGCTGTTCTCTTTCCAAGACAGTATTGGTGGAGGGATAACTGATTTCATCCCTGATAATATGCATCCTTACTAGTCAGTCAGTCCTCATATATAAATGTTCAGAGTGAGTTAAGAAGCTTCCCAAAAAGAGGCAAGATTGTCTTTATGGAGAATCCATTAAGTTCAGTCTAGGTAGAAGGTTTGGCCCAACATTTTAATGGCCAAATCAGCGTGTCTGCTAGTATGTCATGTGTACTACATAATTCTGTAGTTTTTATATTGATGATATGCTTTAGAAGATCCACCTAACACTTTTTGGGAACATCCACTTCCCTAAATTCCCTAGCAAGGTAGCAACAGGACTGCAGACTGGGAATCTCGTGCTTCACCAGTGATTACTGGCATAATCAAAAATGCAACCCACTCTCTTCGGCTCTGCTTAGTAGGCCTGAATAGTGCTAGAATCAGCATATTGCCAACCTGCTGAGCCTGTATCTGCTGACACCCTTCAAGAGATGGCCAGAGCTCCTGGTTTTCACCTGAGAGAAGCCCAAGGCAGCTTGCGGTCAGGCCAAGGAATCTGGGAATGTCGTTTACCTGTTGCCAAACAAAGTAGCATTACCAGACCTGAGACCAGCAGTATTAGCAGCAGTCATACACAGACACAATGAAATTAAAGCAAAACCAAAAACTGAATTTAAAGCATTAAGAAAAAATATGACCAAGGTTGCTGTACAATCCAACGGCAACTTCCTAGCAGCTACTCCAACTTCCTGGGGCAATAACCCCACTGATGAACAAGTCATGCAGGAAAATAGCTTGAGGAGTGGTGAGCATCTTTGCAGCCACCGCTCAGCACAGTTAATACCACCACATTGTGTATCCATAACAAAACCATTTCCTCCCCTCCTCGGAGCCCTAGGAATGTGAATCACACATGCAGCTGCAAAAAACCGCAGTTTTACTGCAGCCTAGAAAGCAGTGGGATTGATATGGCAGGCCTTGGTAGAACTGGAGGAAAGTACCCTCTCCCAAACCCAAAACCTTATTAATCTTTTGCAGATGAAAACGTAGTTGATTTTTCTTTAAAAGTCCTTCCACCTGTCTGAGAGAATAAAAAAACTCTATTTTAATGTTCTCCATTATAGAAAGCAAACACTGGGGGAAAATAGCTGTAATATTAATCAAAGACATCCATGGGATTATCCTAGAAATAACTTCTACAGTTTTTTGGAAACACATCACCCTGGATGTATTTAAAAGGTCAACGATTAGTGACAGGTAGAAGTTAATTACAAATGCATTTGAGGAATACTGTAAAACTGGTTGCATCTCTCTTTTTTTTTCTCTTCCCTGCTTGAGAGTCCCTTCCCCTGAGGTCTCCCTAGCTATTATTTGTACCTGCACAAATCAATAAAATTCTGTTGTCACAGAAGTACTGTTTGCACATTGATAGCTCAGACTCGGCTACAGCAGCTGACTGCAAGCTGCTTTCCGTGCCTCCCAGCAGCATATTAGAACCAGGAGGCTTGGGAGATCCAAGCATCCTGACAGTTAGCAGTGACCCCCCCCTTTCCTGCTCCCAAACACATACTTCAAATGCTTTACTCTAACCATTTCACCGTCCCAGTGCATTCTACCCGATATATTTATGTGCAAGGCCGCAACAGATGATTGTTTCTTTTGGGGAGGCTTTGCAGACATGTATATACGTCCTAGAAAAATGGTCAGCACCTATTATGTGCGGGGAGGACAGTAAAATCAATTCATCCTTTGTACTCTCAGCTGAGGGCCAGGTTTCTTATACTGTGATACAGAGGATTGAATTACGTTTCTTTTCAGGGTAGATGAGTTACAGAGTCCTCTACAGAGAGAATCGCCACATAAATTTTTGGTGAGGGGTAATCTCAAAAGGTAACAAATTTTGCAGTAATCCAATCCTGGTGTGATTCTGCCATCACAAGAAGGTGTAATGAGACTACCTTGGACTCTCACACAGCTTCTCAGGTTTTGTGAGGAAAACCTTTTTGACAGATTGTCTTTGTAGTCTGTATGTGAGTATATTACTCCTGCAGACCGTTTCTCTCTACGGTTTCTCTTGTTCTGTTTCTGTCCAGTGGAGAGGGAATGATTTATCTTTGGTTAAATGTTAATCTGGAAAAGATCTGTTTAACACTTCTAGCCAGGAGGTTTTGAAGCATTCTTAGTTGAGATGAGATGATTTAATTAGGATGCTGAGCATTTAGAAAAATACTCTCTCTGGGACACTTAAGTTTTTTTAGATTTTTTTTTCCCCTAAGGTATGGAAAAGCTTTATAATCAGGTGAAATGCCTCATTGTGAGAGACCCCACTCTGAGAAAGAGCTCAGGTTTTCTGCCTAAACTGCCTAAAAAATGCCTTCGGTCTAAAGGAATATGAAATAAAGTAAGCAGTGGAGAATGGAGGAAAGGGTGGCGAGAGAGGAATCTTTCAGGAACAAGACTTGAAGCTTTGTCTTCTCTAGTTCCCATGCAACTTTCCTTTGCCTTTTCCTTATTTGCCACGTTCTCTCTTCCTTACAAAGCCAAGCAGCTGCTGCTTAACCCAAAATTATCTATGCCTTTTCCCACTGCCTCTGGGACCTCGTCCTGCTGATACTACAGGCTAGAAGCACCCTTGTTATTGGCGTCCTTGCTGGACTGCCGTGGCTGTTTCAGCGATACTTCTCCAGGAGCAGGGAGCCTGCCCTGGGATGTGGCTGCACGGGTGGGACCGACAGGCGGGAGCACTAAGGCTTCACATGCCTACCTGCCTTGCTCCAGGAGGCAGTGAGGATTATTGTTTCAGCTGTCATTAAACAAGAAGTTTCTGTCCCTCCTAGCTGGTGTGAGAGCCTCCCCCAGCCTTTCAGTCTGTTGAGAGAGTTTAACCTGAAGCCAAGACTTCACCTGCTTTTACAGACACCCTTCCTACTGCTTTGGTGAATTAAAGTCCATAACAGCAGGAGAACATTAGGAACACATTAACTGCAGGGTAGAGATTTGCCATTACTAACTCATTCACAGTTCGGAATAATCAGTATTGCCTCTATGTATTTGGGATACTATGAATTAATTAAATGTTAAGAATAATTTGCAGTCTTTAATTTTTGCTCTCTGACTGTGAGCCCACAAGCAGCTCTGTGATCTCAGTTACATCATTCCAGCTCTTACTGAGATCAGCTATTAACTTGAAAGGCCAAGGCTCTTCGGTAAAGCAGCATGACTTTCCTGTTCAAGATAAATATTCCTCCAGTGCAAGGTTTTATTTTTTTATTTCTCATGGCAGGCTGTAAAAATGAACTTGTGAAATTTAAGTGACTAATTGCAAGAAGTTCTTATTATCCAGATAAGCTGTCAGCCATAATGTGCAGTGATAGTAATCCCAATTTTTGAATAAGGATGAACTAAATCAGTTTCTTCAAAATACTGTACTCTTCTGTAAAGCAAGGGAGTGTTACCTTTCTTACAGACAGGAGCAGTAGTGTTCACCCTGAATACCACTGCGAGTATCTGAGGCTGATTCATACAGAACAAAAGTGTCAACAGACCATCTGTAGTTTCATATTCCTTATAAAAAGCAAATTCAGCATCATTCCTATTTATAATTACTCTCAGCTAAAGATTATTCATTCAGAAATATTTTACATATCTTCACTTTTTCAGTCACCTGTCCCTATCTCCTATATACTACAGAAAGTAGTATGAGATGAGTAGCGGATGAGCTCCATCCCCTCCAGGGGCGAGGAGCAGAGGTGCACCCAGAAGGACCCTGATGCTCAGAAGAGTGCCAGGCTGTGGAAAGAAAAAAAAATGAGTGTGAAGGCATACTCCAAAGAATATCTTCACTGCTTTAGGTCCTTGCTAGGATCACCGAGGGGTTTAGTGTTTTTTTACCAAGGGGCGTATCAAATGGCTGCAGGCTGAGGAGAGCCCAGAGCTCAGGCTGCCCCTTTGTTACACAGCTATCCTTACAGCAGTAAGTGAAACGTGGGCAGTGCTGCCCTCACCACCGTGTTTTTAACTGAGCTCCTGTCATAAGAGCATTACAGAGACAGGCGGCTTCTCAGAAATGGTGGCCCAGCCCCAACCCCAACATATGCAGGGGCACGACGGGAAACACCCAGAAAATTTGGGCTTGAAGTCTTAGGCACCCATGGTATCTCAGAAGATCATCTTCCTGGATCACTCTTGCAAATAAATGTAGGTTGTAAATCCCACTTGAAAGGGTGATGTAGGCACCACCAATGTGCTTCCTTGGAAGCAGCTGCTAGTCATTGCTTAACACCACGGTGATGCCATCAAGCCGCACAGAGACACAGTGATACTCTATTGTATTTTGTTTCAGTGTGGTGCTCACCTGGGGCATATTTTTGACGATGGACCTCGCCCAACTGGCAAACGGTACTGCACAAACTCTGCTTCGTTATCTTTCAAGCCAGCAGACAAGAGCAACGCTGGAGAAGGCAGTGGTAACGCCAGTCCTGCCCAAACAGGCAAAGCTGAGCTGTAGGACGAAGCAAAGGCTGCAGAAGACTGCGCTGATCCCACACAGCTTACAAGGAATGTTTTCTAAGTTGCCTGCTCTCTTATATCCTAAGAATGTTTAAATGTATGAAAGCATTTTGCACCATCCTCCTTCTTCCTCACCTTTTCGGAACTGAGGCCTTGCCTGCTGGTGCATTTACTATATAATTGGATTGAAAAACGTGTTGACTGACTCCACAGGTTTTCTTTTCCTTTCTTTTCTTTGAGATTGCTTTGGGGAATCCTTAAATCGAGAGGCTTTGGAATCATTAGTTATTAGTTTTTTCCTAGTGCTGTGTTACTCTAGGTTTGAACACTATTCCTTTTTGTGTGGGAGGTGGGACTTGTGTTTATCTCCAGTCTATAGTAAACTTCTGGGCATAAGAAAATCCTGAATTCCTAGCACATCTCTGCTTTGTTCTGACTTGCGAGGCATGCAGCCTTTGGTCATATGTATTCAGCCATCTCCCAGCATCAGCCGCACCCTGCAAAAACTTGTAGTTATGGCTGTTCCTTCCCAACTGAGAGAGATGGATGAGATGTAAAGCCCATCCTTTGGCTAATTTACTGCCAAAATTTCACGGGTGTATTTGAAAGGATGTAAACATTGTCTCAGCATCTATTTTTCCCCTTTGTTTGGTATTTAAATCAAGGTTTTAACCAGTAAGGCTCACTTTTGCGGGCTACTAATGAGGCTTTGTCTTTTTGTGAGGCCTATTCAGCAACCGTAACTCAAATCTGAATTAAAGTTGAAATCTGCAGGGGGTAATTATATGGACAAGTGCAGAGATAAACTTGAGAAGTGAAGTAGATGAGGGATGACACTAGGCTCTTCATCTTGTCGCTTGTTACAAGGATTCAGAAACATATGACAGTTTCTGCTAAAAGGGAGTTTAGGAATGAATGCAGCAGAAAGAGGGAGACCCTCCTGAAGTATCCGATTTTAAAGATTAGCTGGTCTGGATGCATACTGCCTACAAGGCCACAGCCTTTAATTTGTGCAATTGCGGTGTAGGACATGAGTGAGGGGGTTGGTTTAAGAAAGAAATTTGAAAAAAGCCTGTCAGAGCTCCAGAAATTTTCATGTAGCAAAATTTGCTGTCCCATAAGATGTTTTTCACAGCTGCTTTTAGATTTTGTTGAATAACAGTGTGTCTAGAATTGTGCATAATACTGTTCTTTAAGCTATACTATACAGTATTTGCTAACACCACTTTGCCTTTAAGCATTGAGAGACAATGAATATAGTATTTACTTTTATTAGCAAACTTTGTGACTAACATATTTGGATCAAATTTTATTTCTAGTAGGAGCAAAGCAACCACTGATTTTTATGGAAGCAGGATTGAGGTTTTTATGTCAGTGATAATAAACATTATCTAAAGTACAAACATCCTTCACTTAAAATATAGCTACTGTAAAAGCATACGGAATGGTCAGAATTGCCTTTTTTTAGCAACATAAGACATACATGAAAAAAGCATACAATACCTTAACATCAAATAGATGCAAATAAGGATGATAAATATTTAGAACTAAAATACTCGGGCTCTGCTGTAGCGAGCACCTACTCACATGAGTATTCCCCCAGATGTCATGCAAGGAATTGCTCATCGGCTGCAGGAAAGGTTCTGCAGACTGACCTTTGGTGTTTCAAGGCGGTCGAGTTTCTCCTGGTCCCATTGGATTTTAGCAATTTCTTCTAGAAGGACTGCTTTTATCCCTTGCTTTTATTTAAAGAAAAGTAGGTTTTCTCTGCCACATTTTCTGACATAAACATAAAAAAGGCGGCATCTATAAAAATGTGGTACATAAATGTGGTTTAATTCCAGATTGCTGTTGGATTTAAGTGTTATAAAATTTCAGTATATTCCTGCCTTACGTTAAAGAAATATATTACTTAAACTTCAGTACGCAGTAATGTATGCTGTCCTACAGGAGATTTATTTTTGCAGGATATGGAGTGCAATGAAATGAGTCAATATGGTGAGGTGTATGTGATCTCTGAGAGTTAGACCATTTAACATAGGAAATGCATTGTTCTCTCTTGTGCGCAAACTATACCACAGCGCAGTGCAAGGTAAGACAGATTTCCTTTTATTGCTCTTAGAAGATGCTAGTAAAGGCGAGTATTGAACCCTCCAAATTTGGTTCGGTCTGGTTATGGTGGTGACAGAGGAAACTTGGGAGCTGAGCACAATGTATAGAATAATAGGAGAGTGTTTCTGTATGTTTAAATTTTGCACTGTCTAGATGCTTATAAAAACTGAATGCAAACTGTGTAGAAATAGCAAACTATATTTTTTAATATTTCTATTGTTACTCAGATGTTTAAATAGCATACCTTAAAATATCATGTAAGTCACATGTTATTTATATATACTATATATATATAAAATTGCACATGTTTTTTATATATATATACGTACTCACACATATATTATCCAAGTATAATTTTAGCCTTCAATACCTTTTTAATAACTAAAACCTTTCCTTAAGAGGGTTCAATACTTTTAAGAAGTCAAATACACATTTTTCAAATTAAATTTGTTTTCATATATTTGTTGTACACGAATATAAAATAAATTTCTTTATAAATAATTCTGTTCCCCTTCCTTATTTATCTGTTTTTATGTCAGGTTTTTGCGCCCCTAGCTGCAGCATGTCTTAGGGAACTGCTTTTACTTTGCTTTCCCTTAACTTACTGCGAATATTATATATCCAGCACTTTATCTCCAGCAGGTTTCTGGCAGGGGCGCAGCACTGCAGTGTACCAGGTGTCCTTGCATTTACCTGCTTTCGAGAGAATATCGCAAGCACCCAGGCCCAATAGAGAAGGGAATTGTTTAGAGAAAAGCTCAACTTTTACTTAGCAGCCAGAAGTTCTGGCTGCTTCCGAAAGATGCGGTATGGGATGTGGTGAGTCACAGGCATGCCATAGGAGACCTGCAGTGCCCGGCCTCAGTCTGCAGTGGAGGAATTTGGCTGGAAAGTAGGTTTCTGTCAAGGTTTCTTCTCCAAGGATGCAGGCTTGGAATGCCCTGCGGGCATCAGGTTAATGCTGCTCGGTAGATCAGCTTTGCAGTGGGTTTTAAAAGGTGGGTGCAAGGGAGGGGAAGAAGTTGCAGGCTGTTTTCAAACCAGCTTCCATGTTTGTGTTCCTGGGAACCAGAGAGTTACATCAAAATTAATTCACTTACTAATTGTTCTCAAACACTGCAGAGTGTCCTAGGACAGATGACACACCGAAGACTTGTTCTGCAAGTTTAGCATAATCCCTGTTAGTCCAAAAATTAATCCTTGTAGCCCTCTGCCTCCCCCGTCCACTGTAGTTCCCTCTCAGAACTGTGATAGTTTGGTATTTCTGCAGCGAGGGACTAACTGGTACCCACTAAAATGAGATGCAGCTGGACACCTCGCGGTGGCTTTGCCCTGCACTCCCAGCATAACGCGGCCAGTCTATCAGCACCCAGAGGTGCTGTGCCAAAGGAGATCTTTGGAGGTGTGCGGTCCTCTTGCTGCTGCTGGCCTGGCAGCAGACATGAGGGACGGCTCTGTGCTCCAGTCCAGCTTAGCAGGCTGTGTTTTGCAGTGTGTAGCATGAAGCTGTGCCTAAGACACCTGTACACCCCACCACTTCAAAACTAGGGAAATTTCTAGTAAGAGATGCTCCCCCTGCTGCTTCTGCTGTTCCCCAGGGTGCCCTGGACACGGGGTGGGAGAAGCAGTGGCGGCCAGATCAGCGACACGAGGCCAGTTAATGAAACGCTTTGTGATTCTCTTATCATTGTAGCTATATGGCTTCCATAATATTAAAGGCAACTTACCCATAAGCCTTTTTCACAAGCTGTATCAGCTCTCATACACTAAGAAAAATACAGTGTGTGTGTGTGAACTGGTTAGAACTGGGGCCTTACTGTTTAGAACAAAAAAACCTTACTGAAATTTTGCTGCCCTAATGCAACAGGCCTGTTTCCATCACCTCCCTTTTCAGTTGCTGCAAGGATTTTCTTCTCTTTTGTTTTTCAATACCTGCTGTAGTGGCTATAGCAGGTATTCCCCACATGGACAGGGGTAGGCTGACATCTGGATTTATGCAGCAAAGGCATCGCTCCAAGAAAGGAGAGGGTCTTGTTGTGAAGCAATGCATTGGCCTCTTATTTGTACTCACAGGTAAGTGGTGTCTGAAGGCTCTGTCATCTCTCAGGATAAAAGGCAAGATAAAAGTGAAGCACACAACCTGCCTCCAGTGGCCCAACACAAGATAGTGATAATAATGACCCGCGAGATAGGACCTGCGCAATGCACTAGCATGAGGCCTGAGACCTTATTGCCCTTTCAACAGCTGACAAAAGTGGAGCTTTCTGTGGCACTAGCTAAGCTCCACTGTATTTCCTTTTCTTCCGCACCCAAAAATGGCTTGGTTAAATAAGACGACATCATAAGTCAGCATTTCTGTTGGGGTGACACTGAAGAACGCATTGTCACAAATGATACCAAGTGTGGATGTGGATGTTGGTACTCTGTTGATTGTACTGAAAGGTCTCAGTCTTAATTCACTTAGGCTTGTTCTGCAGTCCATTTACCCAACTGAATTTGGTAAGCCATGAGGTTATTAGGCCTTCTCTAACAGAATATGTGATGTATCTTTTTTTTTTCATATATTGTTCAGTATGTTACAAAATGTCTGTGGTTAATGTCAGTGCATGGCCAGCAGTCCTCTGCTCCTTCACCCATGGTCTGGGAGGGGATGTGAAATACACGACACAGGCTACTTTACTGGTCCTAACTCAGAGATTGAAATCGTGCCCTCTCTCTTCCCATCCTTGAAGGAATTTAAGGACGAAAACAAAACAGATGTTCGCACTTTCAGAATTAGAATCAGTGTGCTCTATACCCACTTGTTTACAGAACAAATGGCAGAGTACTCAGTGACACTAGAAGCAAATTCATCAGCTTCCAAAGTCAGTAGAATAAGACAAAATGTTGCTTAGCTCATTGGCAAACTGAACTAATAGTTCTTGGCTTATTGACTATTAAAATGAGGCCACCTACAGGTCCCACAATAAACCTGCAAAAATGTTTAATCCTGCATATTTGAAGAGCTGCATTCCCGTCTGGCTTGCTCCCACTTTGTTATAAAGAGAAGTGATACACCACAGGGCCTGACTACGCTTTTCAGACCAAAGCCATGACAGCAGTCAGCAACTGTATTATTTTTACAGTCACTTTTTTAAAAAAAAAAGTGAGAGAATATTTCCAAACACACCCCGATCAGTGAAATCACTGAAATAGCCAAACTCTGAGCAGTGTAGGCATGTGACATTACGAAATCCTTATATAGGCTACCAGTGTAATATTAAATGCACTAAGCAAAAAGGTCTCAGTTATGTCCACATGTTTTTGGGATCGGGACCCACTTGAGCAGCCCAAATTAAGCGGGAATAGTACACTCGGAAACCTTCCCCAGAGACCTCCTAGGACTTGTAGCCAGCCTTGCCAGACCTTTCGCTTAGCCAACATAGGCCAGCAGAAAAAGAAGCGGTTCCACAAAAGAGAAGAGAAGAGGCTTCCAGTTTCAAACTCCTGTTTTATTCACCTCTTGTTAGACAACTTGCAAACACTGAAGACATTTCACTCTGCAGATGTCTTAGCCAGGGCATTCTCATTTGGTGCTCTTTATAGTTCCAGTGCAGATGATACCTGCGGTCTAACTTCTTTTAGCCAGGAAATTTTGCTGCCCTAATGCAACAGGCCTGTTTCCATCACCTCCCTTTTCAGTTGCTGCAAGGATTTTCTTCTCTTTTGTTTTTCAATAGCTGGCATTCCAGACAATGGTATATTATTTTTTTGTTTTCACTGTAGCCTAAAAACTGTCTGAACTGCGGCTTCACCTTGTCTCAGACCCCATACTTCTCACTTCTTGTCTGCCCAGGTGGAAGGCATATCTGTTCCCCAAAATACAAGCAATCACCTAGTGGCGATGTAAGAACTGTGACAAATCGTGTGTGCCCACTTGCCGGGAATAGTAGCAGTTCTTTGAAAAAGCAAATAAAATACGTCTTTATCATCCTATTAAAGCGGACAAGTTGATTTTGTGTGGGGGCTAGTTAATTTTCATGTTTTTCCAGGCTGCCCTAAAGCCCTTCTTCTTGCAGTCTGGGTATTGTCTCGTCCAGTTTACAACTTTATTACTGTATGTTTCATACAAACATGAACATCTGGAGAACATCCTCAGGTATAACTGCTGGGCAGTGCAGAAAATATCTGGCGTGATCTGAAACAGGTTTTTCTTCCCATGAAAGTACGCCCCTGGGACTGGGAAACTTAGAAGGTTTGTAATGGCATAGAGATCCTTTCACCTCCAGAACACCACTTCACATTTGGCCTGGGTCTGTAACAGCCGGTACCCCTGGTAATTTCTTAGCTGTTCACTGTTTTTTTGTGAAATCAGTTGGT